TTTATGAGCGTCAATAGTTGCACGCTGCAAAAGCGCTGCACTAGACCCATCCGAGTTCATCCACTCAGATGGAGGTGACATTGGTGGCAAGCCACCACTCACGTAGCCGCCCTTGCTACGGCGGGCTAGTGAGGCCGAACGTGTACTCGGTGGAGCTGACTGAGTCGCGACTACTCCTTTCGAAGTAGAGTGCTCAGTCTTAATCGCTGCGCTCGTAGACGCATGCGACGAGGCTTTACCATCGCTTGCAGGAAGAATAGACGCTCCCTCAAGGACGGGTGCCTCATATGATGGGGACATATGTCCCATCAATGCACTATGCTCATCGCCACTTTGGGGTGATGGCAATGGCGTACTCGATTGTAGTCTACAATGAGAGATGGATCTTCATCCACATTATCGTGAGATGGAAGATTCACCTCAGTGCCTGAAGCGCTTTGCGACGGCTGCGATAAATTGCGGCGCGTTCGCTTAGTGTTGGACTGCATGGGTGCCTTTGCAGGCGACCCATCAGCCTTACCACGTTTCGGTGGCATAAGAATTGAGTAGACTAAGCGGCGCGTTTATAACGGCTCGCAAGTCTTTCTGTCTCCTAGGAGATGTTTTACAAAATGTAAAAATCGTTCTAAAACGGGGGATGGTGTAACAGGGCAGCTAGTTACACGTAAACATTAAGTAATATACTTAATGTTTGGTCTAAAAGTATCCATGTTTACTTTTGACCAGTCACTTGGGTGCGATACACAAATGTGATCCACCCTCGTGAATGTGATATCCATTTATGGATTCATATGGGAAGGGTTGACGCTTGTTGAAGCTAGGCATCGCGACGTATCAGAAGGACATCAGTCGCAAGTTTAAATCTAGATTTAAACTCATGTGACAGCATACGCTTCTATAGAGTCGCGTATCCGATCTATATGTATATCCAATCATTAGTTAAGTATATGTAAGTATAGTTCATTAAATATATCTCAGTCTAGAATTTGCTAACACCGAAGCACCACGCACGAGAAGCTGAAAAATCTTCTGCGTCACGTCGGTGACTTCTTGTTTATAAGTTCGTTGCACTCTTACTTAAGCGTGAGGCAACTGGTGGTACGACTGCTGAAGCAGTCGACCAACCGCATAACCACCCTCGCACGCGAAGGTAAGACGGTCTAACCGCTTCCTTGCTTGTGCTGAAGGTGTGTGCTAAGTAGCACGAGGCAACTTCGTAGAAGTGTCTGTCTACACAAGATGTACGTGGCGTGGTCAGCTGCATTCCTCCAAAATGTGAGAGCAATGCCAGAGCCAAAGATCATGCATCAAACCATGATCATTATAGTTCGGTGCATACGCTCAGCTATTCCGTTGCTGGCTTTATTTGCAGCTTCACTCACTTGACGAGATTCTCCTTGTCGATTGCACAGCAAGTCCACGCTAGCATATTCACCTCCGCCATCACAGCAGAGGACATGCACGCGACAGTCGAAGCGCTTCTAGAAAAGTGCGAGAATTGGGTGATTAAACTTTTCGGGCCTTGGTCTTTCGTTTTTCCCGCAAACACACGCACGTAATTTGCCTTGCTGTCCACAAAGCTGACCATATAGCGTTTGCCGAGTCGATCGAGCGGCGTGATGTGCCCTTTTAAGTCACTGTAAATTATACCGCCTACGCGGTCGATTGACGAATTCTTTCCTACATCTCCCTGTGGCTGGCGCAAATTTGTGGCGTCATCTTCGGCGAAAGTTTAACAATTCACGCGCCTAAGGTCCGTGAGCTTGATACCCGACTCGGGTACGCGGGCCATACGCTAATTGGTATCGAACGACACGTGGCGAAATCGAACGTATAAATCCATCAGGGTGCCTTCTTGAAATTTTCATGCAAATAATTGTCCAGCGATTGCACTCATCACTATGTCTAAATATGTCTTTTTATTGTAGCCGAGGAGAGCAAAGGTTTGCCACCAGCACGCTTGCATCTATTACTAGATAAAACATAACTTGTGACGGTGAGCCCTTTGCAATAACCATGCCTCCTTGATGCAATTTAATGCGGCATCCTTGCTAAGCCAACATCCCAAACGATATGAATTACGCGATAGAATCGGTGCAAAATACACGTTTCTCAGATTAAGCTCGAACACCTTCCTTTGGCAACACCGAAAAGCTTCACAGTGCCCTTCTTTGTAACTTTGAGCTGTTCACCGTATGAAAGGAGTAGCCACTTAGTCTCGTCACAGTCTACGCCGTATTTCAGTATCGACACGTCGCGAAGCAAGCATACAATTGCACCGCTGTCCGATACCCAGCGATCCAAGTCCACAGCATCCCCATGCGCTGCAAGCTCCCAGCAAGTCTTCTCACCAACACTGACGCTGTCTTTCTTTTTCTTGACTTTGCGCTCTCTGGCTATGTGTCTGGTTTTCCACACTTTTTATCTTCTCATTTCGCCCACTGCATTTACGACGCCCTTTACGTGATACCTTATCGGGCGGTCGTCATCCTCGATCTCTTGCGTCCATGCCACATTTTCTGTGAATGGTGAAGATAGTTAGTGGGACCAAGATCATATTGTCCCATGATCGCGACCTTCAGTGTGGCGAAGCGTGCTTCACGACGCTTTCAAGTACAAGTTTTTCGCTGGTCTCACTCGAATGCACGAGTGCCGTGAGGTATAACAGGTGCTCGATCCGCGACCTTTTTTGCGCCGTACAGGTGCATAGCTTGGTGATGGGAGATGTTCACCTTGAAGGCAAGCCACAGCTGCTCGAGCAACTATGCAAACCTTTGGTCACGCATCCACCATCCTTTACTGTGTGCTTGATAACACTGCAAGGCCGTTCCCTTCAGATGATGCTAAAGCTTGTTCGTCTTAATTGGTTCAGTCCACTGGTACCCGCACCCGAGCTCAGCCATCTCAATATTCTTAAGGAATAGTAGACCAAACGGCTAAATCCACTTCCCAGTTCTTTGTATTGCTCCACTCCGCTGAACTTTCCTACTACCAACTTTGAGTCTCGAGCGCTGGACACGCGGTGCCCACCAAGACCCAGCAACAGCTAGAGTCTGCGTAAGACGTTGGGGGCGGTGCTGGTTAATGATGCGCCTGAGCTTGATACGCTGCTTGCGCTTGGTCTGCCGCTTGTGCGTGCAACGCGGCTTGTGCCTCCGTCGCACCTTGATTAACCTTGCCTGTGCTTCGGCGCACCGAAAAAAACTTTTAGCTCCAAACGATTTCCAACCGGACAGTTCGTCGATCTACATTGGCGTGCGCCCTAGCGCACTGTCGATATTAATAGCGCGACAAAAATCGCTTCCTGCAAATACCGCTTGCGCCACGTTGCGCCCATCCGCTCGTCGCCCAGGCTATGCATGCTGCATGCGTGGCGAGACAGGCCAACATTTTGACGCGCGTACACTAGCTCCTTCAACAGTGTCCATGCGCGTCTATAACCGCGTAAGTGCGGCGAGCACGCGCTCCATGTTGGACAGTGACGTCTCCTATTCAGCGTCCCTCCTTTTGCGAGAGGCTCCTCCGGTCATAGAAGTGCGCACCTTGCCAACAGAATACTCAGACCCTTCGTTTAGGCTCATAACCTGTTGAATTTGGAATGACCTGTGCACGAGAAAGGGATTAAGAGAACAAGTAAAAAATATTTTCCTGATCATAGCAGCTCGCATTCGATCTTACTTCGTGCTAATTTCACACGACTGTTGCCTAGCATCAGTCGGCAGTATAACTGCTCACGCGACTGCTCCCAGGAGTCCGCTAGCTCCGCGAATGTTCACCAAGACTTTCAACATGAAGAACTTGTTAGAAGTTCGTTGCGAGGTGCGCTTAGGCAACTGGCAACGGTGGCATAGTACTCCGGCGCCGATCAACATCAGTATCACCGCACGCAGAGGTAAGACGGTCTAACCGCTTCCTTACGCTGCTTGAAGGTGTGTGCTAGTAGCACGTGGCAACTTCTTTGAAGATCCCGTCTGCATTCTACGCACGCGCTTTATTTCTTTTGAACGCAGCTAGTATCGCGCTGCTTACACTGCTAGAACCCTTCAAGAGAAAAGTCAGTCGCCAGCTACACTCAGCTGATCAACAAACCTGGCTTCCTTTATCGGCTAAGCTCTCACTCAACCTCCCCGTAGCTTCTTCAATTGCTACCTTGAGATATTCAGCGTTCACACACCTGCGTACCCGTACCGTCGACCTCTGTTTCCACCGACCCCGGCCTTTTTGGGTCTCTTATGTCCATTCTCGCTGATAACGTATTCGAGTGCACTCCACCGTGCACTTGACCATATAAACACTGGTCTCTCACGCCGGCGCTGTTTGATCTTCTTTTATTACGATCATAGCGGGTCTCCTGTGATACACCTGCAGCCCCCAGCTGTTCGGCCTCAACTACCAACTTTGACACGGCGTGATTGATTCTGCACTGTACCGGCTGGTAAGGTGCACCCTCCACGACTCAATCATTATAAACACTTGATCTAAGGCTATGTCTTCAACATCTGGTAATAATATTGGTGACTCCGCAGTGATGACGCCCAGTTCCATGCCATCTTTACCACACTTTAAGCAATTTTTCCCACTCAACCAAGATTATCTTCGTGTATAGTAGTATTTATATCGGTTAAGCTCGTCATTTCTCGGTAGGTTGAGCAGTCAAACCGACTTTTCTCATGTAATAGACAAACTGTAACTGTCAACGGTTGTCAGTGGTGTCGTTCACTCTAAACAGTGTCGCATCAGCTTTCTCGCTGCTGTTAAAAGTCGTACGGCTTTGATAAAGATGTCTCAGGCTGAATTGATGGGAGCATAGCACCGCAGACGTACGAGAATGCGATATTTCTATCGATATCATAGGATCTGAACGAGAAAGTCTTGCACTTTTCATTTCCACTGACGTACAGATAAATACGCACGAGTAAGGTGGCCACCACGCTCCACTTCAATTGCTTCACTGTTCAATTTGCGGCAGTGTGTCAACAAACTTTAAAGCACTCCTTAAAATGCACCTCTCAAGTGTCCTCCTCTGCTCCGTGGCTGTCGTGTTCGGCATTGCGGCCAGCAACCCTAGCAAGCCGCAACCGATCCTCATCGCTGGAACCTATACCCGTGACATGGGCTGGATTAATGGTACGGGTGAAGGCATCTACACGTACAAGATCATGGACGATGGATCCCTCATAAAACTGGCGGTCACGGTATTAGGAAGCAACCCCATGTACGTCCAGGGCACCAATAAGAAGTTTAATACTGGCAAGAAAGTGATCTATGCCGTGAACTCCATTGACGACGTGGTCCCTGTAGAGCCCGGCAAGGTCACCGGATACGTGTCGGCCCTCAGTCTGAATGGCGACGGTACGCTTAAGCTGCTGAACACGCTCCCAACGCGCGGTGGATCACCAACCCACATCTCGTTGAACTCTGCCGAGACTTTTGTTGTCGTCTCCAACTACGCTGGCAGTGTCACGATGTTCCCTATCCATCCAGACGGTTCTCTCGGCAAGGAGACATACCATGAGGAATTTCTGAAAGGTAGCAAGGTCGTCAAGGACCGGCAGGACACAGGCCACATCCATAGCTCCACGTGGCTACTAAACTCGGATCACGTCATTCTCGCAAACTTGGGTAGCGATGAATTGATTGAGTACAAGCTGAAACCAAAGAAGCAGACGCTAAAGAGAATAGAGGCTGTGAAAAGCTCACATGGAGCTGGACCACGTCACATGGCACTTCACCCTAACGGCAAAATCGCGTACGTTGTAAACGAGCTCAGCAATACTGTCAGCGTTTACAAAATCAGCGATCACAACGAGGCCCCTAAGATGTCAAAGAAGGCTTTACAAGAAATCACGACGCTTCCGAGTACCTTTACGGGCTTCAGTACCAGCGCTGACATCCATTTGTCCAGCAATGGAAAGTTCCTGTACACGTCAAACCGCGGCCACGACTCCATCGCGATTTTCAAGATTGAGACTGATGGTACCCTCGTGTCGATTGGATGGGAGAAAACCCGAGGGACGGGTCCTCGTGGCTTCGTGATTACCGGGAAGTATCTGATTGTGGCCAACCAGAACTCGAACGATATGTTTGTGTTCAAAGTGGACTGCGAAACGGGGTTGCTTTCGTTCACGGGCAACAAGTATGAGATTGGTACGGCTGTATGCCTTTATGTCACAGAGTTTTAGAAGGTGAAACACGCTACAGTTTTGCCCGGATTCATCTGCAGCGCAAAGTCCCAAGCAATTGACATCACTGGTTGTGTCTCTCCGCTGCGGCTATTTATATGCATTAGTACAAACAGTAGTCAACACTTGAACGCATTGAACGTAAATCACCGATGCATGTGTCTACATGTTATGATTCTGTCTTACTTGCTGTCAAAGTGCTTTAATATATCGTATCGAACTCGCTTCACAACGAGAAGTGCAAACAAAACATAAGGAAGCTACATCTCCATCGTTTATGAAGGTACAATTTCTCGCTTCAGTAGAATTCATGAAGAACGCACACTCGCTGTAATCGATTGCAGATGAATGAAGTGCATACGGACGGATGATCTTGAGAATGGCAGGGAGTCAGAACGACTGGATTCTTTGCAGTGGCTAGAATTACATGTCGAGGTTCGACAATACGATAGGATAGTGCATGATGACGGCACGACCACTATCACATTTGACAACTAGAGCCCACCAATACCGAACCCGACAACTGTCAGCATGCGTCTCGCGAGTGTCTCTATCTGCCTCGTTGCCGTCGTGGCTATTGCTGCTGCTGCTACGAGACAGTCAACCACGCAATCAATTCTGTTTGTTGCTACATCGACCAAGGAAACTGCCAACGGCATCAACACTTTTAAGCTTAACACGGCCGATGGATCCCTCGTGCCTTACGGAATCACGCCACTCGCTTTTGCGGAAAAGGGCTTGAACCCAACGTACGTCCAGGGCTCAACCAAGAAATTTTCGAAGGGTGAGCGGGTCATTTACGCTCTAAATCGTGGTTCTACTACTGGGCACGTGTCGGCGATGACTCTGCAGTCGGACGGTACCTTAAAGGTTCTCAACTCGCAGCAGATGAAGGGTGGATCCCCAGCTCACTTGGCACTGAGCCCTCGGGAGGATTTCGTTTCCGTTGCCAACTACGTAGGTAGTCTGTCGCTGTTCCCGCTCAATGCTGATGGCTCTGTCGGCGCTCAAACTTTTTACCAGAACTTTCCCGTTGGTAGTAAGGTCGTCATGGACCAGCAAGCTATAGGCCACATTCACAGTACCGCGTGGCTGTTCAACTCCAGCAAAATCATTGCCGCCAATCTAGGAGGTGACGAGCTTCTCCTGTACAAGCTGGACAAGACAAAGAAGACGTTGGATAGTCTTAAGACTGTCAAAAGTTCGCCGGGATCCGGACCTCGTCACATGGTCATCCACCCCAACGGAGGCTTTGTGTACGTCACGGACGAACTATCCAACACCGTTAGCGTGTACACAATCAACGATGATGCGGAGTTGCTGTCTAGTCCCGCTCTACAAGAAATTACGACACTGCCTCCCGGTTTCACGAACACCAACACTGCTGCTGATATTCACTTCTCGAGTAACGGAAAATTCGTGTATGTTTCGAACCGCGGTGACAACTCGATTGTTGCTTACAAGGTCAACGCAGATGGTACACTGAAGGCTCTCAGTTGGACGAAGTCGCGTGGTGTGACACCTCGAAGCTTCATCATTTACAAAGATTGGCTCATCGTGGGGAACGAGGGCTCGCATGACATGTACGTGTTCAAGGTAGATGGTGCCACTGGTGCACTCGAGTACACTGGCAATTCGTACGCGATCGATGGACCTGTGAGCTTTTACGTTGCAGAGTATTAAAAGCTAGTTTCTGGTCAACTAGATGCACTTGTGATACATCATGGCTGAAAGTGTATGGATATACAATTGATCCATTTTGATCGTGATTTCCAGAAGAAGTAGCGAAAGATAAGTGGAATCCGCTGATGGATAACCTGTCACTCGTTCTGTCCCACTTTGTCACTTTTGAACTGAATACTTTAGCCCATCGATGCACTATTATACCGATCAACCACATGCCCCTAATTTTGCTCTTGGTATCCCCACCATTAGTCTTACAAAAGCCCATACTGTCTGCTGCTACACACTCGATGACAATCCACACAGTCAAAACCCTAAACGAAAGTTGTATCACTTCCAATCATGTCGTCCTACTGTTTACGATCACACTGACGACTTCCGTCCCAATGTAAGCTACTGATAAACCTACAACAGAAAGCAATATTGTCTTGGACGAGCGGGTTGTAGGCAGTACAATGTGGCTACCCAGCTCAAACCATACGATCTCGTGGTTTTGTACGACTGCGTTTATAACGTGTTGCTGGTAGTCACACTGGAGAACATGTTGTCCTGTATTGTGGAAGTCAAAATCGTGGCGACAACTCACTTTTACGTTCAGTTTGAAGTGTTTATCGCCACAAAGTGGCCCACTTCATAAGTATAAAGAGGGCCCAAAGGATTTAATGGCCCGGTCTATACACTTGCGAGCGTTACAAGATCCGATTGTGGAAGAGAAATAAGCACAACATCCCCAGACTGCCATATGGATAGAAAATGTGCACGTAGATTAAGCGTTCATATCACTTTGAGCTACCCCAGATCGTTGCTATAAGCAAGACTGATTACATGTATAGCTGCAAAAGTAGAAGGTTCATTTGTCACCATCAATGTATGATACTACATAAAAATGGTAGCACCGCTGATGTGACGCGCCTGGTTCTGTCACACTTCCCTCGACAAAACTAGGTTTACAAAGATCACAGCAAGTTGCGGAATCAGGGGCTTTCACGTTCGTGTAGGCTTTACGGACAAGAAAGAATTAATACGTTGCTAAATGGCAGTATCGATAATGAAAAGATGTCGACAGATGTGACCGCCAGCAGTCGCGGTGGTTGCGATGGCTAGGGGGTACCTGCTTAAATCTCTCATATTCGAAATCACTACCTTAGGTGTTAACATCGATATTATTAGTATACGTAAGTAAATTTCTTAAAATGACAGGTAGGACGGACCAAAAGACCGAGCGGGTCTTCTCGTTCAACAAGGACAAAGTGTATCAGCATTCACGCTATGTGTCCTACGCCCTCAAGACAGACACTCGCAATAATCGACGCCAGTTTCACGCCGTTTATGGCTCCATGCCCGTCAGTAGCTCTGCCCGGAAGAGCGGTATTCCGGTAGCTCCGAGACCTTCCGAGTCGGATGCGTTGCTTGGCAGCAGTGACCAGCATAGCAATCAGAGTGAGACGGATAGTGACAGTGACGGCAGCTGCACAGTCAGCAGCAGCACGTCGAGCTCATTGCAATCCATTCTGAGAATACCGTCGGCTGATTTTTCATGTCGAAATCTAAAGAAAAATGCATCGGTTGAGTTTGCACTCGATATTCACGACGAAGATGACGACCAAGCTGCCAAACGGAAGCTCGAAGGATCATGCGCCTCGCGATGTATGCCACGTCGATTGACAATGGAGGAAAAAGCAGCGTTGTACCAAGTACGACCCGACTTGGAGCTCGTCCCTACAATCTTGTTGCTGTCTGAACTTGAAGAAATACGGAGACGACGTCAACGCAAACTCATGTTTTCCATCCTGGGCGCATCACTCATTTTGTTGATGCTGATCGTCTTTTACTACCTCGTCTCGCAAATGTGACCCATGGCTGATGCTTTTTTTATTACCACTTTCCGAAGATATTGCTAATACAGTAGAAGAAAAAGAAACACTATCATCCCTTTATTTGGTCACATCCGATTTACGATCATTATAGACAGAGCCTGTCGTATCACTTGAGAACATCAAAAGTATGCGTGACCACAGGTTTTGTAACATCACTTCATCTTCTTTATCATCATATTCATTGATTGGGATTTCCATCCTACCGTTGACTTCTCAATCAGCTTCTGCAGAACGTCTCGTCCCGACCGTGTCTTGTCGCTTCTTCTCTTTTCTTTACAACAACATATTTAATTAATTTAGAAATTTCTGGCTCGAGCTAATAATAATAATGACGGACAGTAGCAGCTTTAAAGACCGAGAAGCAGCGCTATTGCGTGAACTCTCTGCGTTGTATACGAAGCTAAACCAAGTACGTGACAAACGCGTGAAAGAAGAGCAAGAAAGCGGTGCAGGAGGAGGGAACGACAAGGATGGAGATGATGAAGGAGTCAAAGGTTCAAGACGACGTCGTCGAGTGCTATTGGTGACTCGTACGCTTCCATTTTGGCTCGTGTCGGAAGACGCACAGTCGCAATGGCGTGCTGAGTTTCCAGAGCATGCAAGTCTGAATGGAGCGATGGAAATTTTTCAGTCTTTGCATGAAAGTTACGACTGTGTCTGGATCGGATCGGTGCATGGAGAGATTGAACCAAGTGAACAAAATACGTTAAAGGAACAATTATTGCAAGATCGCAAATATTATCCAGTCTTTTTGGATGAAAGGAGAGAACGACTGTACTATCAGGGGTTTTGTAAAACGGTCATGTGGCCGCTGTTCCACTCGTGTCCGCCGACGACGGATGATCAGATAACGCAACATGAAATGATGGAAGATGGACAGGAAGATGACCATAGTATGGAAAAAATGTGGCAGGCATATGTTGCGGCAAATCAGGCGTTTGCCGATGCCATTCAAGAAGTTTATGAAGAAGGTGACTTGGTTTGGATCCAGGGATATCACTTGACGCTCGTGCCACAAATGGTGCAGAACTTGTTTCCAAACAATAATGTGTGTATGGGTTTCTTCATGCACATTCCATTCCCATCTGCAGAGTTGTATCGGATACTAAACAACCGTGAGGAAATTTTGACCGGTATATTGGGTGCCGATCTGATCGGATTTCAGACGTATGACTACGCTCGACATTTCCAAAGCGCATGTGTTCGATTATTGGGGCTGGAAAGCAGTCACGAAGGCGTGGACCTAAACGGACATTTTGCTCGTGTAACAATTTTTCCAGTGGGAATTGATGCCAACAAGTACGCCGCAATGGTGCAATCGGACGCAGTTCAAAAGCAGATGACGCAATTGACGAGTCAATTTTCCGGGAAAAAGGTGATTCTCGGAGTGGATCAATTAGATCAGACAAAAGGGCTTGTGCATAAGTTGTTGGCAGTCGAGGAGTTGTTTACCCAGAAGCCAGACCTTGCGAAAAAGGTAGTGTTCTTGCAAATTGTTACGGGTCCGCCAGTGTATGAGTCGGCGCTAGAATCGCAGGTTGAGTCTTTGGTGTCTCGTATTAACAGCAAGTTGCAAGATGTGGGTACTGAAGGCCCTGTGCAGTATTTGAATAAAGATATTGCCGTGGAGGCTCTGCTCGCATTGTATGCATTGGCCGACGCGCTGGTGATTACGCCCGTCCGTGACGGAATGAACACTATTCCATTTGGATACATCGTTTGCCGTGAGGCCACAAACAAGCATGCGCGTGTAATCCTGAGCGAATTTGCAGGATGTGCCCAGTCGCTGGGCAAAGCGCGACTCGCGAACCCATGGAATACTGAAGAACTCTCGCGTGCGTTGCTAGAATCCCTTCAAGACAATGATGAAGTAATGCGTGCTCACGAGCATATGTTCAGCTACGTAAGTTCCTTCACCTCGAGGCATTGGGCGGACAAATTCCTGGAGCAGCTTCATGAATGCCGTGAAGAGAACGCGGTGTCAGTATCAGGGCGTGAGCTGAGTCGTCGCGATATGACATCAGCTTACTCACGGTCATCGCGGCGGCTGATCTTTATTAATTATGAAGGTGTGCTTGCAGTTGAAGCGTCGATTCCGGAGCTGGCCTACCCACCACAAGAGCTTATCTGGCAATTGTCTATGCTTACGAGCGACCCGCGCAATACTGTTGTTCTTGTCAGTGCGCGTAGTATGTCAGTGTGTGAGCAGTGGTTTGCTGAACTTTCAGGAAATCTTGTTCTTGCAGCAGAGTATGGCGTATACGTTAAGTGGATCGGCGACAATGAGGGTTGGCACTGCTTGGTGCCGAACATGGACATGAGTTGGTGGGAACACATATTGCCATTGCTGGAATATTACACAGAGCGTACTCCAGGTGCGTATATCGAGCGAAAGGATAGCTCGATAGCATGGCACTACCGTGACTGCGATTTGGACCACGGGTTATGGCAAGCTAGTGAGCTTTTGGTCTCGTTGCGCGAGATTACGAGGTCTCTTCCGGTGTCTTTGTATCCAGGTAACCGGTATCTCGAGGTGCGACCAGAGAAGGTTAGCAAAGCTACGCTGTTTGAGCGCATATGGAAGTATATGAATTGGTCTTCGCTGTTTCCTGATGAAGATCCAGTTACGACAGAGTATCTCGGCGAATTGATACACCCACCCCCGTCTTCAACCGTGATATCACGTGGATTTGAAAACGACGTGCCTGGCGGTGATGGTTTAACAGCATTAAGTTTGGATGACTTAAATACTCGACTTACGAGAAAGGACTTCCTTAGAGGAGATAGGAAGGATTCGGAAAGTTTTAGCATTGAGCAACCGGATGATGCAGACGAAAAGCAGCCAGTTGATTTTATTTTGGTGATCGCCTCGGGTGATGACCGAACTGATGAAGATGTGTTTGCATTTCTAGTGCCTCCGCCAATCGATCTTGACGCATACTCCCGACAACTCGAGAAGGATGACATGTCTAGTACTCCACAGCAGGTGGAAGGAATGTTACCAGTTGAACCTGATACTGACGATTCGTCCTCTTCATCTAATCGACACCTAAGTTTCATACAAGAAGCGGGATGCAGTGAAAGTGAAATCGGGTCATCGAGCTTCGATGATGTCAGTGACAACATGTCTTACAAAACATCTCGTCGACTACGGGGGAGAACGTCGCTTGCAGCCGGGTCGTGTGGAGAGCGAGGCAGTTTGTCGACTACCTCGTCGCTAGCACGGCTCTCTTCGCTGCCAGGTGTTGCAGACTCCCGAGCACTGGATGAAAACATAACGAAACTAACACTTGCAAATTCTCCGAATGCTGAAGAGGCTGGGAACATGTTTCCGATGCTCAACCGACAAATTGTTGCGCGCCACGACGGAATCGTCACTGAAAAGAGCAGGTTTACTCGTCCTGACTTTCCACCCTCGGCCGCTTTGTTTAAGGCTATGAGGGCAAAATACGGTGAGAACTTTGGCCTTCACAGAATCCCGGATACTCTGGCGGCCTGTTGGGCACTTGTTTGTCCACCTAATGGGTGTGCAAAGGTAGAAGATGGCATTAAAACACAAAGGAGTAACTCGCGGGTACTGCCGGAAGAGAAGCTTCTAGTTACTGGAAATCTTGTGACAACTGAAGGGTTGGAAGCCTCAGTCGGGGGTGAATCAAGTACCAATAGTTGGGTTCATAGCGATCTGACCGCTTTGAAATCCACGGCTATTCGCGACAGCGAGGATGAGAGTGGTTCACTGCGAGGCGATGGAGATCAGGCTCAATACAATAACAAGCATAAGTCGGACTCCAACATTGCTGAAAAGGAGCTTACTGCAGCGAAGGCAACGGGGGAAAACGAACTGCCAGTCAGCCAAACGACTTCGGGGTCTACAGATGAAGCTGACGACGGGCGATATCGGTTTCCTGTCAACACATTTGTGTGCACACTCGGCCGCAAACATTCTCAAGCGCCATACTTTATCAAGAATTCGGGGGATTTGTTCCAGCTATTACAAGAAATGGGTATAAGCAGTCATATTCGCAAACAGCGCGTGCTTTCCACGGGCAGCGTCGGAGATATTTAAATGCAGATGAAATGCGCTCGATAGGACATGACATGGCGCAAGCAACAAACCGATTGTGCCACTCGAGAGCGTGTATCTTATTCGCTGCAGTTGTCAGGCTATACACGTATCACTGGGTTTTATATTATGGGGAGCAGTGTATTGAAGCGTGTTTGCTTGCAAAAGAAGCATACAATGAATTTTTCTAATCAAAAAGAGTTGTGATATTGTTGCAGAGCAAGAATTCGCCCCTTGGCTATTGTAACATTTTCTCGTCGGAGATTGGCTGTTAGTTTCATCCAATGATAGTTAACCACTTGGAGCTTCCAACACTCCTACGTGTTTATAATCGAAAAGTAAAAGACAGAGTCAAGTGTAAAAAATGAAGTGGACGACAGTTTTAGTAGCGGCAGTGATGGCCATTGTACAGGTGCAAGCTAAAGACGACCTCGCCCCTGATGCAAAGCTACGTATTGGTGTCAAGTATCGTCCAAAGGAGTGCACTATGAAGAGCGAACTAGGCGACACGCTGTCGATGCATTACACGGGTACATTGCGCAAAGACGGCTTTAAGTTCGACTCGAGTCTGGATCGCAACCAGGCGTTTGAATTTGAGCTTGGTGCTGGTCGTGTCATCAAGGTCAGTAGTAGTTGTTCAGTGCTACTAGGATCTTTATACTGGTTATGGCATTAACGTCGTCTCTTTGGTATGTTGCTGGATGTGAACAGGGATGGGACCAAGGGTGCGTTTAATGTATTTGTCATCTCTAGACTTTATGCAAGAGTGTCTGGCACTGATTGATTGCTACTGTGGTGTTGATGTTTTATGTAGACTTGTGAACATGTGCATTGGGTACGTTGAACGACCTGTAGCAATTGACGAATTTGATAATGGTGATATCTTTGTCTTCTGTCCATTGCTGATGATGGTGTGGCTTTTGTATTCTACAGTGAGAAGCGTCGTCTAACGATTCCTTCGGACATGGCGTACGGCGATAGTGGCTCTCCCCCAAAGATTCCTGCCAAGGCGACGTTGGTTTTCGACGTCGAGCTGCTTGACATCAAGCGCGACAATGACGAGCTGTAGACACAGCCAAACTGAGTGCCTATTGTTGCACTCTTTTTGTTCTTAATACATGGAACAGAATGCTTGAGCTGGAAGGATAAATGTGAATGGCGTGCCATAAACTACCTGTACATTTTCCTACATATAGAAATTTTCTTACAATGTCAAAATATCTTTGGCCGAACTTATGATAAACACACCTAAGCCGAACTTATCGATTTACAAACCTAAGTCGAACTTAATTTTTTTTAGAAATGTAGTTGAAAAATGGAGCGGCCGACTAAGAAACGACATGGCAATGAGCTACTTCCGTCTCATAAAGAAAGCGATACAACCGATACTAGTACCTTCCAACTCGCAAGCTTTGATGCTGATATGATGCAGCAACAACTTGAGCTTTTTATTCGCAACGACGACGTGGATTCGGCTCAGATTTTAGGTGAATTGCTGGTCTCCGTAGCACTCGTTCCAGCCGATTCCATAGCTCACAAAAGCAGGAGCAATATTCAGAAAAGAAGAGACGATAGCTTTTTATCTAAGAGATCCAATGATCATTTTGAAGTAACGTCGAGTATTGTTCAAACGCTATCGCCTGCTTTTCACGCCAAGACGCTGCGTCTGTTTGCCGATTTAATGTTTGCAAAGCGCGAGTTTAAACGCGCGATTGTGAGCTACAAAGTAATTGATGATAACCAGTAGATACTGACAGACTCATGGTGTACTGCTGTGGTGTTTTTGTTGCTTTTGATGCAGCGCTACTATCATCACAGTTGCAGAGATATGACTTGCGTGACGAATGAAGAAGAGCTGGAGGTGAAGTTGAAAGTGGCTAGATGCTACGTACAGCTTGACTCAAATCACGAAGCTATTAAAGTGGTCCGTTAAGCTGAACTTGTTGCATTCAGATCTAATTGTCAGGATTGTGATGGACTGAATGGCGGTTGTTTGGATTATTTGTGACAAACAGCTCAAGTTAACACCATCAAATGCACGAAGTCTGAGCATGAATCTGCTGCTTGGGAAATTGTATTTGAACGAAGGACTGCAGAACAAAGCAGAAGAGAGCTACGTAGCAGCACTCAGACAGAATCCATACGCATTAGAAGCAGTGTTAGCGCTCACGGAACTGGCCGCAGCAAAAGATGCATCCTCAGATGCCTTTGCATGTTCATTAAACGCTAGTGAGAGCGCTCAGTCGGTAGGCAAAGGAACTTCTGGTCCATCTCTGAAGAAGCATGAAATTGAACGGTTTTACCTTGGGAGTGCGACGATATCAAAGGAAGGACGCTGTGGTCTGTCTCACTTAGATGCGACGTGGATGCAGACGCTAGTGGAAGCTCACATGGATGCTAAACGGAGCAGGTATCGAAGTAAGTTGCTAAGTTATACTCTCGAGACGTGTGCTCTGCTCGAATTGCTTTGTCTGTAAAATTGCTGATGCGTGAACTTTGATATGTTAGAGGCCGTCGAGTCATTTAATATGGTGGATCGCGTTTTCCCTAAGAATTTGCATAGTTTGCTGCGTAAAGCAGCACTTGAAAGTGACCAGGATCTACTTCATCAAGCTCATGTTACGTACACACGTGCACGACAAGTGGACGATCTGAACATGACCTTTATGGACCGCTACGCCAATTGCTTACGCAAAGAAAACTCTCGAACCAACCTTAATAACTTGGTGCAGGAGCTATTCAAGATAAGCAGTACGTGCTCGGAGTCGTGGCTTGCTGCTGCCTATTATAATGACTTGAAGGGTGACTACGAGACAGCATTACAGTTTTGCGAGCGTGCCATCGAGGAACAAAATCGTCACGCACCCGCCCACTTATTTCGAGGCGAAGTCTTGTTGCGGATGCATCGTCCAGAGCCTGCATTGAAAGCATTCTGGACATCCTGCCGACTCACACGGTCGTTGGAAGCCTACACGGGTATTATCACCAGCTACTGTGACTTGTATAGCATCGGCGTGAATCGTTACAAGGAAGCATTTGCAACAGCCAAGAGTGTCGTGAAAATGTTCCCGAAGAAGGCGCAGAGCTTCGTATTGTTTGGCAGTGTGCTTGCTCTAAATGCGGAGCACCGAGGACAAGCACAGCAGGCCCTGCATAAGGCAGTAGCCATGGAACCACGCAAGCTTTCCGCTACTTTTGCACTTGCCGATCTGCTGGTTGAGGAAGGCAATTTACGTGGCGCCATTGATAGGTACGGGCCAGACTATTGGAGGTTGTACGTTTCATTTAACTATTGCTTGGTGAACTTCAATCTCTAGACTGCAAGCATTAGGTGAGCGTCATCCGCGAGAAGAAGTCTTTACCAAGCTGGCATACGTTTTCTCGATGGATAAGCAGTACGCGGAGGCACTCAAGTACTTTCACCAGGCGCTAAGGCTTAACCCAGAATCGACTGAGGCACTGCAAGGGCTTGATCGTCTCGAGAAACTGATGCGCGGCGAAGACTTGGACGAACTTAGCAACTCGATGGAGCAGATAGACCCAGAAGACCAGGAGGAGTCGGTCGTGGCAAGCGAGTACCTCTCACCGTAGAAATACGAAGTAGAAGCTCGTTTTTTTATTGCAACTAAAGTAACCTTTACGGTAACGGTTTGTGTTGACACCTATGTCTAACACTTTCTGGTCTACGGAGCCCTTGGTACTACAGATACATGTAATCGAATGAACTGGGCGATACCTCAATGAAAATCGCCTGGTCCCAATGAGACAGGAAAAAGGTTCTTTTTTTCGTGCATGGCCTTTATTGCGTAACGGCCGCTGTGAGCCAATCAGCTGGGCGGTCATCCATCGCAACAGCGTGCGCCAATCAAGGATCCGACCAGCATGTTTGAGTTGCTTGGTCCAAGGCCGACTGCAAGCTGCAGTGAGCCGTCCAGCCGTTAGCCACACCCCTCCCCCTCTCATCATTTTTGCATTAATCTGCGTCTGCACACCCGTCCGTCCGCCCGTTCCGTCGTTGAGATGGTTCTGTTCTTCCGAGGCTCTCGCAGCAGCCGGGCGGCGCTCACGAGCGTGTCTCGCCTCGTAAGTAAATGCGGCCACGACCGGTCTACTGTTACTCGTTGCATGAGCACACAAGTGGCCCGTGCCATTCTACTGCCCTATGACGCGGCTACGGCTTCTACGACTGCCAAGTCGTCGCTAGAGCTGCAACGTCTGCAGCTCAACGTGGCCACCGTGACGCAGCTGCAGACTCAGATTCAGAGCCTTGGAAATGGTCCTAGCAGCCAGCGTGACGCCTTCTACGTCGTCGACACGGCTGCTGTCGAGGACCGCTACAAGCTTTGGAACGAGTATCTGCCCAATGTGCGGCCCTACTACGCCGTTAAATGCAATCCTGATCCGGTGCTTATTGAAGGCCTCGCTCGCCTTGGAGCAGGCTTCGACTGTGCCAGTCAGACGGAGATTAGCTCCGTGCTTGGCAACGGTGTTGCACCAAGCGATATCATTTACGCCAATCCGTGCAAACAAGGCTCACAGATCGCCTATGCTCAGGATAATGGAGTTGATATGATGACGTTCGACTCGCAAGACGAGCTTACCAAGATCCATACCATCAGCCCCAATGCGAATCTTGTGTTGCGACTGTACGTCGATGACTCCAACTCCATTTGCCGACTTGGTACTAAGTTTGGAGCAATGGTGCATGATGTCCCTGACATTTTGAATTACGCCAAAGCTTTGAACCTTAACGTCATTGGAGTCAGCTTCCACGTCGGTAGTGGCTGTTTCAACGTCGAGGCTTATTCGAACGCTGTAGCACGCGCCCGCAACGTCTTTGATATTGGTCACTCGCTAGGCTTCAATTTCAAGCTGCTGGACATTGGCGGTGGCTTTCCTGGAACGGAGAACGCCCCAATTCGTTTCGAGGATTGCGCCCGCGAGCTCAAGAAGTCATTGGCTATGCACTTCCCGCAAAATAGCGGTGTGCGGATTATTTCAGAACCCGGTCGCTTCTTTGCGGCAGTCACCCACACACTTGCTGTCAACATTGTTGGACGCAAGGTGGCACCCGCTTTTGAAGTCCCTGGTCAGGTGCCTGTACTTGCCTCTGCTGCAGCTGCTGCCGGGCAAGTACCTAACTATATGTATTTTGTGAACGACGGTCTGTACGCCTCGTTTAACTGCATGGTTTACGACCACCCGTCGATTCAGCCTGTGATCATGTCGGACGCCGCCTCGGCAGACGCCACACCGATGTTTAAGGCTAGTATCTGGGGCCCAACCTGCGACGGCATGGACTGCATCATGAAGGAAGTGGAGTTGCCGCTGTTGAACACAGGACAGTGGATTGTGTTCCCAAACATGGGTGCCTACACGTGCGCTGCGGGCTCGGACTTCAACGGCTTTCAGCGCCCTCAGAAAATATACTTCGACTCGAAGTTCGTGGCAGATGATCAGCAGCAGTTTGTGCACTAGTATCGACCAACCTCTCGGCTTAAGACAAAAAGACATAGAGCGAGGGCGAGATACCATTGCACCCGGCGAGTCGGCGCTGAGGTCCTGGACCAACAGGTCCTAACACGCAGCTTCTAGCAGCAGGGTCTACAGTTTTTTCAACAGAGGAAGAAGAGCTCAGCCTCGGAGGTAGAACTAGCGAGAGACGGCACCCTGCTACTATTAGTCTGCTTCCTGTTTTAAAAGTCCCAATACAATATCACATACCGACGGGATAACATCAAGCATTTTGAGATGGCGTTTTGCCCTTCTGGTCAAGCTGAGTGAAACCACTGTGTAGATCCTCACAACACTTGTGTTGGTCGGTTTTCTGATCTCTGACACTTCCTTTATTGTAGTTAAAATCCCTATTCGATGCTTGTCTCTATACTGTACATCAAAAGAGGGTGGAGCGCTACTGAAAACAAACAGCAATACTTACTTAAGCAAGCTCCTTGTCCAGTCCGCGGAAGTAAGCTGGTCTACGGACCCACGTGCGGGGCAGCACTTCCTCGTTTGTAGCCAGACGCAATGTGCGACTTTCATCACGCACCAGTAAGTGTTTCTTCTTGGTGGATATATCCTTCACAGCTAGACGGAACCTGGCCTTTGACTGGTTGTTCTTGGGGTTGGCAAAGCTCTTCATCACTTCGATCTTGTTATTTCCTGCCAGCCGCTGCATCTCCAGCGCCTCCTCAGGATACATCTGATCCGTGTGTCCATGCTTACCCAAGCGTTGGACAAGGGGCGGATATCCCTCGAATTCGTCGCTCAGGAAAAAAAAGTCTGGGTTCCTAAATGGCTCATTGTCGACGCCCATAAGCACCGCCTCCTCGTTGGCATCCAGTACCTCATCCGGCTCCATCGCCTCTTCCTCCTGCCGTGCTTGCTTTTTCAATCGTGCAATCTCCTTGTCATTACCAGTAGCTTCAGCGTCTGCAAGTTTTTTTGCCTGCGTGTCCATCTCTTGGCGAGCTTTTTCTTTGGCTTCGTGAACCTTGGCACGAAACTCCTCGGGTGTAAGCTCCGCCTCCATGCGTTTCATCCAGATAATAGCCTCAACACGAGGTTTGGACAGATGAAACTTGCGTGCCAACGTCGTAGATGTCCACCGCAGCGGATTCTCCATAAACAGCTCCATCACAAGTTCATCGAGCTCGTCATTCTCCATGACGCCACCTTTATTGACATCCGGAATCGTGTCGACCTCAATATCTCCATCGTTTCCCTCGGAATCCTCGCTATCGTCTTCATTTTCGTCTTCATCTTCGTCTCCTTCTTCGTTCTTCTTGGTCTTCTCCTCATCCGCCAGGTTCAAGAATCGAGACGGTGTCGAGTCCGAAGACGTGAAGCGTATAGATCCAATACAGCGATCGATAGAAGGTGTATGCAACGTCGAAGCAATGCGAACAATTGGCACCGCGTGACGACTGCGACGTGCAGTACGCACTAGAACGCGACTCCACATCTCGAGCCAAAATAAGTGAGGAGGTCTCGGAGCCTTTCGTTGTATTGCACTACCAGTATCATACCGGTACCTTAATACCTCAGACATTTGTCAATATTTTACAGATTTGGATATTATCCAAAGTTGTAAAATATATCTGGGTGGGTTTACTACAGTTATAGAGCACATCGCAATGTCATTAAAGACGTGGATGGTGCGCTTCTTGCGGCAGCATCTAGTGCTGGTTATTTTCCTCGTCCTTGCGTCTATAATAGCAGCAATTGTGTATGAACTTACCGGTGGTGGAAAGCCAAAAGCAGGAGTCTATGATGCTCCAGCGCTTAACGTCGTGGATCTCGAAGGCACGGACCGACCGCGTAGTCTCTGGACAGACGAAGAGTTTGAATGTTTAGGCTGGCGTGCGACCCATAATTGTGATCCATACGGACCACGTGATAAATCCAGGGATCGTACATGTGGGGAACCCATGCCACGCTCAAGCGGCTTTTGCGAGGTCCGCAATCGAACGAGCGGCGAAATTCTGCGTGTCATGTTGGCCACGTGCAAGAGCTGGCGTTGGTATCTCGTGCCTTCGCTCTCATGTAACGACGCTAGAGATTTTACAGACTTTAGTATACACGCTGCACAATATACACACCCACCACGTGAACTACTGCCAGGCAAAAGTTTAGAAGAGAAAGAAGCAGACAAAAAAGGTATCGTCATGATCGCTTACCCAAAGATCATTGCGGGACTGTACGCTATTGTCCGCATGTTGAGATCACTGGGATGTGCATTGCCAGTGGAAGTGTGGATCCACTTGACAGAGATGAAAGCAAACCATTCCGTCTTGGTGGAGTTAGTCAAATACTACAATGTGATAGTGAGAATTATTCGAGACCCCAATGCATCCAAGTTTCTTGCGAAACCTTACGTAATCTACCACTCGACATTTGAGAGTGTACTGTGGATAGACTCGGATAATATTCCAGTCCGCGATCCGACGTATTTGTTTGAAGCACCAGAGTTTGTCAAGTATGGAGCGATTTTCTGGCCAGATTTTTGGAGACCTGCGATTGATACACCATTCAATCTGCACCAGCAGAGTGCTCTGTGGACACTGCTAGATATGCCGTTTACGGATATGTTTGAACAGGAAAGTGGCCAATTCCTAGTGAACCGTTCGCGGTCGCAAAGTGCACTCTCAAAACTCATGTTCTACTCATCGCATTTGCCACGATTGATTACGGACTGGCAACTTGTGTGGGGTGACAAAGATTTGTTTCGTCTTGCGTGGCTAAACACAACCACTCCATTTTATATGGTGCAGCATCTCGTAGCTCTCGGCGGACTATACGACGCGGACGAAGACTTTTTTTGTGGTGTCTCCATGATTCAACGTGACCCGATGGGCGAAATAATATTCATGCATCGTAATCAAGGAAAACTTACAGGACGTCGCGATCAAAAGCCGCTGATTACACATTTGCAAAAGTTTATAGGTGGTGATGGTACTGCAGCTTCACTTTCACGAGACTTGGATAAGTACCGGGTGCAGTGCAAAAGGCGTCGACTAGGACAGTACACGTGCTTTATGCTGAATCCAATCGCTCCTGACGGCGATAGCACTCCGTCACTGACTCTCAGTCTCGAGACAACAAAGTATATGGCAATAGAGCAGCATGCTATTGGCTTTTCGATTGAAGGCCGCGGGCTTTTCGATAAGGAAGAAGAGGCCGTGGTGGCGAAAATGGAGGCAGACGTGCAAGCAACGAAGGATAAGGAGACTGCTGCAGTTATTAGAGCTCGTGAACGATCAGAGAAGCAAACGCGCGGGATTTCTGGTACCATTGTTGTAGTTGCATTAGGCCTATGGCTACGGTGGCAATGGATACGGCGGTGCAGCAAGAGCCGACCAAATTATGAAACGGTAGATTCGTCAGAGACACTATCGGCTGAGCCTTCGCGCTCTCACGTAACCTTGGCAATAGATCCTGCCTTTGGGTCGTCCTCTGCCGTGTTTCCAGGGACATTAAACAGCTCTCGACGGCGCAATTCCTGGTATGGCGATGCGACTTAGGTCGTTAAATGCTTTATGGATAGGTTATCTTTCACAAACGTTGATGGCACGCGATGCGTCAATCACGCTACAGTCGCATAGACAGAGGACATTGTCATATCAAAATTGCATGTTTCGACTGATTTGGTTCACCAATTTGCGCATCAAACCAACTACGTGATCTGTGGTAGTGGTTCTTCACCATCTTGGCTACCTCGGAGAGCGTGTCAGCATTCCGAGTTCATCTCTTTGATTAGTTGTGCTGCCTCAACGTCACAAATGGCATAGTGGCGACCTTTTAGCTCCTGACTGGCATCCGACCCACGGATCCAGTGCAAACTCGGCGAAAAAAGCGGTTACCTTGTTACAGCGAGCGTGAGTACACTCTAGCAACTGATGGAAGACCATTTCGTCGCCAAGTTTGTGACGAAATGCCATCCCCTAGTTGCCTTTGTTGCTTTGAATGCCAAGCCGAAGAAACAAATCCTATTCCATCTTGACCGAAATCTCCACAACCGCCGATGGTGACAAACGAGATGCTGCAACCTGCTTCTGTTTGGTGCATAAGGTCGGCTTTACTGCTAACTGCTTGTCAGGGTATAGGCTAAACTTTCCAGCTTGTCTGGCCGATCCATGCATGTGGTTGTGAACTGAAATGAGGCCTTTCGGTACTGAGTCTCAGGTAAAGCGATTTCGACAGTAACGTACATTGGTGTAGTGTCCGGTGTGAACTCAAATCGGAGCTGCAATTCGTCGTCGAAGTCGCTTTAAACTTGACAGAAAGGAGCAGTAGAGTTTTTCTATTAGTACCATCCATAGAACTGCTAGTGGTCGTTCCGACCATAGATTCCGTCGGGGAGCCTCCTGATCAAAGAGAAGGTCGCTCAGGCGTGGGGAGTTATCATCTGGCGATGGAACGAGCTTAGGTCGTGGAGACCCACGCTGAAGATCGTAGGGTCCTCTAGCAGGCCTATCAGGCTGAACATCGCCGAGCCGAAAACCTGTACTGCCGCGTGGATGAAGTTGCTTGATTCGAGGAAGTCGATGTCTCCCAGCTGAAAGCTCGAATCAGATGCATCGTCTGCGATCTCGAAACCAACCAGCTGACCATCGCGGAATACCGAGATGCGCTCGCCAGAAAGACTACTCCCTTGAGGTCGAGTCGTCTCGGTCTACGATACAGTACTGGAAGGTATGAAACTGCTGTGACGGACTCCACGGTCCAGGTCGAGGAACTGGACACCACGTTAGACACCGTCGCGGCCGACTTTCAGGCCAAGGCATCTCAAGTGTCGCAATTTCAGGATGAGCTGGCCCGCTCCAAGATCTCGTCAAATCAGTCGTCCGCCAACGGGACCAGCTCCAGAAGCAGCTGGAAGTGGCCCAGAGTGCCGCAGATAAACATGTGCCGCCTATGGCCATGTCCCTGGGCCCTAGAGGGACAAGAGGTCGTGGTTGCCCGCTGCTAAGGTCTAGGTCCCTTCCAATTCTAAAAAGCGCCGGACTACCCAAGCCTCTAGTTCCACTGAAAACGAGACCAGTAGCAGCGATGGGTCTCAACTAGCCGCGATGGCCAAGTCGCGTGCCTCTAGTCGTCGGTCTGGCCCAGAGGCTTCAGTGGGGAAATCTGATCCTCAGGTGGTGGACTTGTCCGGTAAGTCCAAGTCTGGCCTTCCTTCAAGATCGGCGGGGTCCACTGGTCAACCCAAGTCGAATTCTCGTCCGAAATCGGCGAGGTCCACCAGGAAACCCAAGCTTGTCCCAGGCCCAGAGCCCAATAATTTCTATCTTATATCCGGAAGCCTACGCGTAAGCCTTATACAGATCTGTTCATTCAGCTTTTTGGCTATTCCAAGTCCTACACCAAAGTCTTTAGTCAGACGGTTAGGGTGCCAGCATCCAAGAGTCTCACATTTATAAAGCTTAGGGCCCATCCATTTTGGATATGTACCGCCGAGTGTAGTCAGAGCCGACGAAGTTTCCTCATAGCCTGTTTCTCCGGTGGATCCCCTTGCGGTATCACGATCAAGCATGCAGAGCCTAGTGTCTAACGTGGCCCTTCCGGCCTCGTGGATGGGCCCGGGCCCCTCTATGGACAAAGCATCCAGTGGCCCCCAGGATGAGAGTAAGGGCCTTCTAACGGAACCTCAGCTCCAGCTGTTAATGAACTCGCGTCCATGGGAGCAGCGGACGGTGTCCGAATATCCTCTCTCCTTCGCGGTGAATGGATGGTTTGTTGACCTGGTGGAAATCACACGATGCCTACGTAGACGTATCACGCCAGAGCCTGTGGGAGGACCGGCACCGACTTCATTTTCCGTGGCTCTTCGTGCCATCAGCACGTACATCGCTCGGCTTTATAAAGCCAGAAATAAACGGCGGACTAAAGCGACAAAGGCTTGGATGGATGTGCTGAAGAAGGTCCTGCAAGGGACAGTGGCAGGCCACTATAGCCTGGACATCTTGCTGGACCACTTCTTCCAGCCTGTTACTCTCACACGTCAGCAGTTCTCTTGGTACCCGCGTGTCAGCCAGAAAAAACCTCAAGCGGGGCTGTTGGATGCGTTGCAGATAGTGGATGACGCTTGAGCTCTGGAAATCAGGCCACACTTGTGTTCCTAGTAGACCCCGCCGATTTCGGAGGAGGATTAGACCTGGGTTTCCTGGTGGACCCCGCCGATTTCGGAGAAGACCAGACCTGGGTTTCCTGGTGGACCTCGCCGATTTCGGACGAGAATTCGACTTGGGTTGACCAGTGGACCCCGCCGATCTTGAAGGAAGGCCAGACTTGGACTTACGGGACAAGTCCACCACCTGAGGATCAGATTTCCCCACTGAAGCCTCTGGGCCAGACCGACGACTAGAGGCACGCGACTTGGCCATCGCGGCTAGTTGAGACCCATCGCTGCTACTGGTCTCGTTTTCAGTGGAACTAGAGGCTTGGGTAGTCCGGCGCTTTTTAGAATTGGAAGGGACCTAGACCTTAGCAGCGGGCAACCACGACCTCTTGTCCCTCTAGGGCCCAGGGACATGGCCATAGGCGGCACATGTTTATCTGCGGCACTCTGGGCCACTTCCAGCTGCTTCTGGAGCTGGTCCCGTTGGCGGACGACTGATTTGACGAGATCTTGGAGCGGGCCAGCTCATCCTGAAATTGCGACACTTGAGATGCCTTGGCCTGAAAGTCGGCCGCGACGGTGTCTAACGTGGTGTCCAGTTCCTCGACCTGGACCGTGGAGTCCGTCACAGCAGTTTCATACCTTCCAGTACTGTATCGTAGACCGAGACGACTCGACCTCAAGGGAGTAGTCTTTCTGGCGAGCGCATCTCGGTATTCCGCGATGGTCAGCTGGTTGGTTTCGAGATCGCAGACGATGCATCTGATTCGAGCTTTCAGCTGGGAGACATCGACTTCCTCGAATCAAGCAACTTCATCCATGCGGCAGTACAGGTTTTCGGCTCGGCGATGTTCAGCCTGATAGGCCTGCTAGAGGACCCTACGATCTTCAGCGTGGGTCTCCACGACCTAAGCTCGTTCCATCGCCAGATGATAACTCCCCACGCCTGAGCGACCTTCTCTTTGATCAGGAGGCTCCCCGAAAAGATCTACGGTCGTACGACCAAGTCAGGTTCGGGTCCAGGTAGTGTGGGGGCAGACCAACTGCTAGATGCTCGGGGCCCGTAGAAGAAATGGAGAGATGTCACTGGCAAAGAAAAGGTTTGTGAGTTAATGGTTTTACCAGATACAGGACAACCATCACTATGTCAAAGGGACAAGACAAGAATGCAAGGATTTTTGTCGCAGTTCATAAGACTAGCGCGCATGGGGAAGTGTGGAAGAGTGACAGGGAAATTGAGGCGCTTCGCAGTTATTATAATAACTAGCGTGAAAAATCCAGGTCACTTTCTCGAGGGGTAACTCCCCTGGGGGCCCTGCAATTTTACCGCCGGGTTAGCAGAATCATATATTGTGCTTGAGGGTGAGTGTGCGTGGGAGGCCAGGAGCAGCTTTACTTCGAGACCAACGTCTCACTTTGTGCTCCCCAAGAGTGGAACGAAAATCATATCATCAACGCAAGCTGCAACAAAGGCGCAACTTCTAGTAGAAAGAGTCCTAGTGTAACAGGGCATCTAGTTACACGTAAACATTAATTAATATACTTAATGTAAGGTCTAAAAGTGTCCATGATTACTTTTGACCTATCACTTGGGTGCGATACACAAATGTGATCCACCCTCGTGAATGTGATATCCATTGATGGATTCACATGGGAAGGGATGACGCTAGTTGAAGCTAGGCATCGCGACCGTCTCAGAAGGACGTCAGTCGCAAACTTAAATCTAGATTTAAGTTCATGCGATCAGGATACGCTTCTAAAGAGTCGCGTATCCGATCTATTATATATATATATATAGCCAATCAATAGTTAAATATATTTAATTATGATTCATTAAATATAGCTCAGTCTTGAATTTGCTTTGCTAAATCGAAAGCACCTCGCACGAGAAGCTGAAAAAGCTTCTGCGTGACGTCGGTGACTTGTTGTTTACAAGCTCGTTGCACTCTTGCTTAAGCGAGAGGCAACTGGTGGTACGACTGCTTAAGCAGTCGACCAACCACACAACCACCCTCTCACGCGAAGGTAATACGGTCAAACCGCTTCCTCGCTTTTGCTGAAGATGTGTGCTAAGTAGCACGAGGCAACTTCGTAGAAGTCCCGTATACTTTTGGTAGCACTAGTAGTCCTTCCCTCGACCCGTCTCTTTGAGCGTGCGTGTGGATACGGATGTCCCTCAACGTGGCTTGGGTGTTTTTCCTCACCTCTTTTAACATCATAGGGAGTTGGCAGAGCATATGGCGCAGGGACTTGGTGA